GGGGGCACGGGATGCGCACATTTGCAGTAAACTACCTACCCCAACGGCTCCAATAAAATGCAAAAAATAGCCATTTACAAATTAATCTGCATGACAACCAACAAAAATTAAACCATCCAAAATGAGAGCAACTTATATCTAGAGAAAGGTTAATTTTGAAAAAGGGAGAAAAAGGAGAAAAAATGGACCTGAATTCTATACTAATTACTTGGTATTAAGAGTGATGCAATGTTGATATTTAGCATGCAATGCTGAACAGTTGATGCTCTATGCCAAGAAATGGTATTGAATTCAAATTGACGATTATTTATTGATTTTAATCGGTTTGATATAATTTTCATTATTATTATTATTGTTGTTGTTTATTAAACAGAGTAAGTGAAGCCTCAAGTCTCATTGTTAAGAAATACATTAGGAGGGTTGAGTAGAGCATGTGCGCAAGACATGGAAGCATATGTTTCTCTACAGAAAATAATATTCCAGCTTCTTTTACGCTCCTGTTTTCTGTTTCCTTCCATAAATTTTGAGTCGCTTGTCACTTGGATGGATCTAAGCTTCTCTATAGAAATTTGCAAGAGAGACAAGGATATTAGTTGACTGGTTATGAGGAAAAAAAAATGGATTCATTAAACAATATATCTATTATGATGATAATAAACCTAGTTTGACATAATCTAATGACAAATAGAGAAATAGAAAAAAACAAAGGTAAAGCAGACCAACATAAACACATATAGGGATTTTTGTGGTTCGGCTTAGAACCCAAATCAATCAAAGGAGAAGTAATCCGCTACCATAACAGCCACAATTTTCACCGCCTTCTCATCAAAACTCCTATGATAATAAAGAGCAAGATTTGAATCTCACCGTAACAATAATGGTGAGTGAGTGAAAGAGTAGCTTTTACATTGTTTACATTGAGATTATGTACTTGTTTATGGTTACAATAGTAATTTAAAATTTGAAATTTATAAGGAGATATGATAAGAGAGGACTAAGAGTCCAAGATAGGATGGACTTAAGAGAAGATGAACCCAATAGTATCTGGTGTATGAGATGTGTAACACCCCCCACAAACTGAACTTGGGAGCCGAAACGTTCAATTTTCTATGAAGAGAGGTGAATCAGAAGGGGCCTAAGCTCTTGGTGAGAATGTCAGCAAGAGCTTGCAAACATTTGTCTACTGGAGAAGACGAACGAGGATAACTCTTTTAGTCTTTTTATATTTCGATAGGCACATTCTCTTCTCTCCTCGTTCGTCTTCTCCAGTAGACAACAAATCTTTTAGGGTTTTCTTTGCAAACACTACTGTTTGTAAGCTCAAAAAACAACAAATCAAAACCAGTCTGAAACCTGTATCGTCATTGATGTTCATGAAAATGACCAAATCCATGGTGCCATGGTAAATGATAATGAAGATAATGGTATTGGTAGCAGAGGAGAACAAAGGACATTGCAAAGAGAAGGGGCTCCGAGCTATAATGGGGTCCCCAACAGAGGAGAAGCCACAACAAAGGAGTTCTGAGTTCTCTCTCATTTAATCAATTAATCTGTCCTTTGCTTCTAGCTATTCCCCTCCGGTGCTTCAAACTTCTATATTTCTGAGATTCCAAGAGAACAAATGCATTGATCATTTCTTTTCTCCAATGATTTGTAAGTGGTGATCAAATGGGTCAACGAGACAACATCAATGGCTCTCTTAAAGCAGTAATACCTTATTTTTTTCTTATTCATTTGTTCATCATTCTCATTCGATGATCAATAAACCGAAAAAATCAGAGGGCGAGATGAACTCAAGGGTTTGAGTTGGGTGTTGTCATTGTTTGCATTGGAAATGATGATCACATGAGCCCCCACTCCGACGTCATTCACTGTTGCGATGAAATATTCAATTACTAGAGCCGCCCCTTCACCTCCTCTATAAATCTGGTTTCTGTAGATTCATTTCCTTTGTTTTGTGTAGTTTTTTGTTAATTTTTCAATAATTTCTGCTTTCTTCATTTTTATATTTTTCTATCATTTTTGTTATATTATTTTACAACTTTGTTATTGTTGTGTGATTTGTGGTTTCTTTTGTTTTTTTGGAATTTCTGTTCATTTCTATATTTTAATTTTATATATGATTTTTGCAATTTTTTTTTTTTTGCAAATTCTATTATTTTTTCGAGACTGGATTCAGTCAAAAGCAAAGTCCATTCGAACAGCCATTAATGCCTTGCATTGGGAATATCTCCCCATGAAATAAAACACAGAAGTACGGAGATATTCCCAATGAAAGGTTGTAAAGACTGTTCGAACACTGCTGGAATGGGCCTTGCTCTGACTGAAACTGATCTCTAATTTTTAATAATTTTATATAATTTCTAATATTTTTTCTTTTTCTTTTCTATAATTTCTGTACTTTTCTATAATTTATGTTACAGTTTTTTTATAATTTATATGTATTATTTAATGAATTATATATTAACGGGTCGGGCGGATTGTATTAGGTCAAACGGGTTTGGGTTGAACCCCACCCATTTAATTTAATCTTAATGGGTTGACAGATTAGATGGTTTGAATTGAAACTCAACCCAAACCGAACCTAACCCAACCCGCCCAATTGCCACCTCTAATAAGTCCCATATCCATAATTGAATAGTATTTGCATTCAGCAATACCAATTTGCTATTGTGAATGTAAGCAAGAGAACGGATAAAGGGACAAGAGGGACCCCAAATGCCTCTAAAACTTGATAAATACACCCAAAGCATAAAATTTATTTGTCAAATGAAGCGTGAAATGGCACAAGAGGGACCCCAAATGTCCGAAACAACTAAATCAAGAGGACCATTAGTAGAGTAGGAGCTACCTGAGAATGGTAGGCGGTGTCCTTTTCCAATCTGACAGTCTCGGCAGAAGGACATTGTTTTACTAGATCTCTAAAACCAACAACTGAAAATCATGAACAACGCAAGAAACTATGGAAGATGTAGGGTGACCTAACCTTTGATGCCATGTGAGAAGAAGTGGAGATGGGAAGCCGATAGAGACCTTGGTCATTCGTTCCCTGAAATAACACTGTCTCTGGACTTCCGATCCTTAATTAGAAAATAAGTTGATGACTGAGATGGAGCAGCATGATGCTTGTTCCTATTTGGCTTTAACTTCATGGCAATGTTGGCACTTATGACGTCAAGATCTAATGTGGCTTGCATTCGTTGAAGCCAAATTTCATGATTCATGAGCAATCCTTGCAATTCATCCAAGGAGAGAAGATCTGCTCTTGGAAAAATAATTCTACATCTAAGAGAGTACGTCAACACAGTTGTTGCTAGTTGATCAACTATAGTCTTAAATCTGATTAAGTAGGCACCCATAGATTGGTTACATTTTCTGAGACTTCTCAATTCATTTCTTAATTGTATAATTTGGACATTTGATTTAGAGGCAATATAGAGTTTCAAGTTTTGACCAGACAACTTCAGAGGTTGTGGAAACAAAGATATATTGGGGAGGCATCAGATGAGTACCATTGATGATGTATCCTATCAGTTTATAGCTTCTCAGAGCAGGTATGAATTGTGATTTCCATACCAAGTAGTTGAGACCATCCAGTTTGACTGAGATGATGGCATGTGTGATATTGAGTTCAAATGTTGCTTGAGTTATAGTAGCTATCTCTTTCTCAGTAGAGTTGGAAGTTGAGTTTTGGGAGAGAGGAGACAATATGGTGGAATTGGCTATCAGACTACTGGGTCAGGGCTCTGATACCTATGATAATAGAGAGCACAAGATTTGAATCTCACCATAACAATAATGGTGAGTGAAAGAGTAGCTTTTATACTATTTACATTGAGATTATGGATAGAACAATAAGAGAGGAGTGAGAGTCCAAGATATAGTGGATGGACTTCAAGGAAGATAAGTCCAATAGTACTTGGTGTATGAGATGTCTAACAAGTCCAACTCTCAATACACCCCACAGAAGCCTTCAATTTCAGGCTCTTGCAAGTCCTAACTCCCAAGTATAATTGACTCTCTTAGAGAACAAATATCCATTCAGGGAATTAAACTTCAACTTCACACTTGTAATCTCATACACTGAATTGTGTGAGAAATCAAAGCTTCAAGTAGGTTTATAACCTCGGCAACATCCACTTCATAGGACGATTGAAGAACAAAGGTGTGTAAGGTTGACATAAAACACTAAACGAGATAGAGAGCACTTACCAGATATCGTTATATAGATAACCCTAACTTGGAACTTGGAAGAGATCTATGAAGAGAGGGGCGGGGGCAAAGATTAGGAGAGAGCTAAGGAATGGAATGGGCAGCCTAGGGCATGATTTTTTTTTTTGTGTGTGTTGTGTAGGTCACTTCATTTTTTGTGCCATGGACCCATTCTTCATTTTAGAAAGAATGAATCCCATGGCAAGAGTTTTATAACTAAATGCTCTCGTGTTATTTATTAGGGTAAAAGACTTGAACCATCCTTAAGGTTTCTCCTAAATATTGAAACCTTGCCTCTCTTTTTAAAATGGAGTAAGACCACCCTTGTGAAATGCAATAACAATTATGTCGAATGGAGGAGTTAAAAAGTCTACTGTATCCTCACACCATTGTTGCAACCAGCTATCACTGATGGAGCTTCGGACATTTATCTAATACTGGTCATCTCTTATCATAGCAAACATTTTAGTCTTCTTCTTCTTCTTTAGAGCATTCTGACCCGATGTGATGGGTTGGAAGATGAATAGCTTATGGATTACAATCAATCAAAGACCAGTTTCAGAGCTTGGTTACGGGAGTAAAGATAAAGGATGGAGCCTCATGGGAGGTGTTCGTGTACTAGACAAACAACCTTGTTCATGATATTAATTCTTTTGTGGCTAAATGGTGTTTGACTTCTTAGTTGGTGCACATGGAGGATCCTTGAGTTTTACAAATTTATCATTTTCTTTTGTTAAAAGTGATAGAGTAAAAGACTAAAGCATACCTTGAGTTTTTGTAAATTGATTTCTGCATACGCTGAGCTTTTCAAATAGATTTAACTATACCTTAATTATGTGTTGACTCCAGATACCTTGTTTTGAGAAGGCGTTACCTAATATTTCATTGACCTCTTTCTTATTATTCTAAAAATCCCATTTTACCCTTTAAAAGTATAGTCCTCTTTTTAAAGAATACACCTCCTTTCTTTCTTGCCCTGTATCTGTAATGGCAATTGCTGAATTCTTGACAGCAGGAGAGATGGTGACATGGATTAAGGATTATGTTCCCAATCTCCACCTTAGCATTAGAAACTCACATTTCTTCATTTGAAATCTACCTATCTGACATTCCCATTTGAACAGATTTTACTGAGAAAGGGTTATCCTGGTTTCTTTGAAAAGCTTAGTCAAGTTAGCCTAAGGTATGTAAGCAGTTTCCCATTGAATTCGATGGAAATCTTAGTCAAACCAACCCAAGATGAAATATATCCAACACAACAACATGATAAAGGATTATACCAATTCCAATATCGATCAGAGTTGATTTGATTAAGAAAGGGTTAATGAAGTTAAACAGGATGAACTAAAGAAGCATAAAAGGGGCAAAATTAGATTTTTATAAATTTCACTCTCAGTCTCACATAATATTATGTCCAAACGAATGTTGCCATTTCTGATGACATCACCCAATAGGGGATGTCTTAGATCTTAGTCCATTTTTTCTTTTTTTTTTTTTGGGGGGGGGGGGGGGGGGTTCAGTATTTAGGAGAAAACTTGGGGGAGGTTTTATTCTTTTACCCTATAATTATTACCGTCCACTCTTTCCCAGAATGAGACCTGTGGAAATGAACCAAACATGGCTTTGATCGTCAAGGATGATATAAACTCTTTGTTATTTGCATGAGGCCTTAATAAGATCTCACATGTGAAGTGGGGTTGGCAGAATCTAAAGCTTTCTTTGAAGGCCTCTCCTTTATGAGGCATATGTAATTTTATCTAGTTATTGTTGAAAGTGATGCTCTTAAAATAGTTAAACTTATGTTGGCAAACTCTTCAGAAGACTCTATAGATCTATCGTTGAGGCTCCACACAGTGGTAGCTGATTGTAGAAGTATTCTTCTCAACAACTGTGATACCGCATTAATCATGTTCCAAGAAGAGCTAATGTTGTAGTTCACTCAGTGATGCATAGTAAATCAGACCAAATATAGTCTTAAATATTTGTTTAAGTGAGTGTATGTATTCGGGCTCAATTAAGCAATCAAATTAGAGAGGATGAATTGTGGGTTTGTTGGCACCAAGGTGAGGGTTTAATATTAATATGACCTTAGCTCCTTAAAGAAATTACAGATTACAACCATGTACTTTGGGGTAGTGACACTTAGCCCCTTGAACTTTCATTTGCCCTTTTGATATTCATATGGACGAAAGGATGATCTTTTATAATGCCAAAAATGGGCAGGGCAAAACATGTTTTCTCTTTTGCCTACTTTGGGTGAGAAAAAATGTGAATAAAGGGTTTATGCAAATATGTATTAGAGAAAGGACAAAATGATCTCATAAATTAAGAAAAAAAGGTAATTTGGGGATTTAGATATGTTTAACAAGCACATAACAGTCAAATGAGATTTTTTTCCTGAAGCTAATTGATGAAAAAGGTTAATTTACTAAAATATGTCCTTTGGAGATTCATATGGGTGAAAGGATGATATTTTATAATGACAAAAATGGGCAAGGCAAAACACGTTTTCTCTTTTGCCCACTTTGGAAGAGAAAAACCATGAATTAAGGGTTTATGAAAATATGTATTGGAGAGGGGATAAAGTGGTCGCATAAATTAAGGAAAGGATAATTTGGGGATTTAGAAATGTTTAACAAGAACGTAACAGTCGGATGAAATTCTTCTTTGAAGCTAACTAATAAAATTTAAGAGAAAGGACAAAATTGTCTCATAAATTATGCATGGATTACTAAGGAATAGGGGTGAGCAAATGGGTACAAGAGAAAAAACATGAATAAAGGACAAAATTGTCCGATTTAGAAATGTTTAACAAGCACGTTCAAGGGGTCTTTTGTACACAAATGAAAGATCAAGGGGGGCTAATTAAGTGCCACTACCACCTGGGTCAGCCCATTTTAGTAAATGCATTATTTCGAGTTTATTATATGGGCAGTACCTCTATTCTCAACCTCCCAATTGAATTGACTCATCAAATCAACCTCATATTTAGGCAAATGGTAAAATACTTGTACCTCCCCTAACGTTTTTGACAAGTACTTAAACCTCCCCTCACCCTTAAACGTTACGTTGCAAAGACCTCCCTTGACTTTTGGTGTAAAATTTTCTGACCCATTCCGTTAACACATTGGAAACTTAACAGAAATATAAATCTATTGCTCTAAAATTTTTAAAATACCTAAATCACCCATGAATCATGCATAGGTCCGTAAAATGCTTATACCTCCACTGACATTTTTGTTAAGTATTTAAACCATGGTTTTTAAAACTGATCCGGAGACCGAGCTGGTCAGGGGTCCGGTTATTGGGTCGAATGGTTGGCTGTTCTGATAAAAAAATAAAAAATGGTCAAAACCGTTCAAATGGTTAATCGCCTAGGTCAACGGTTTGCTGACCAAAATGAACGATTTTTAAAGAAATTCCGGTTTTGAGGAAAACTGAAACCGGTCACCTGATCGGTTCCCGATTTTTTTAATCCAACCGTTCGGCCCGGTCCGGTTTTAAAAACCATGATTTAAACCCCCTTCACCTTTAAACGTTGGAAGAAAAACATAACTATCATTTGAAGCCTTTTCATATCTATTCATCGTCTTAACCATCCTATTTCTCCTTATGCACTCAAAAAAGGGACAGTATGGGCTTGTACTTGACTTCCATTATCCTCTTGTTTGAAGGATTCAAACATATTGTTAGTTAGGTTACAACTCTTTCCACTAGTGCTGAAATCATGCTGACTCCAACATTTTTGAAGTATGGCCTTCACCCACTCCCAAGCAGGCTGACTTAAACTGTTCAACTGCAACATATTGATTCATTAAAATCTTGAATTGTATAATCCCTTGCTGCATCGTGAGGGAAGGTTTAGTACTTATCAGAAACGACGTTAGGGGAGGTATAAATACTTAATTTACCCAGGCATGATTCATGGGTAATTTGGGTAATTTTAAAAAAGATTAGAGCATAGATTTATATTTTTGTTAAGTTTCTAACGTGCAACTAACGCAAGGGGTTAATAAACAGATTTTACACGAAAGGTCATGGAGGTCTTTGCAACGTTTAAAGAAAGGTGAGGGGAGGTTTAAGTATTTGTCAGAAACGTCACGGGAGGTATAAAGTATTTTACCCTCAGGCAAATTCTGCTTTAAAGTAGATCACATGGAATTAATACTATTGGTCCCATTTCAGTTGGCTGTTGTCGCTGATCAATTCGTGCTATTTATTTCATTTGTCTACTTAATTATCAAAGCTAAATGAAATTATTTTATATAGTTGTCAATTGGGTAAACTGAACCAAGGAACCAGGTCCTAGTGATCCCATAGGAGATAGTAGCCATGGCGATTATGTTCCTCCCTTTAGTTGATTCTGGATTAGGGTTCCAAGTTTTATTAGCCTTTCTTTGTCTCTTCTTCTTGACATGGTACCTCAAACACAAGAACCCTGTCATATTGAATTTGCCGCTCTTGGGCTCACTTCTGATCCTCGCAAGAAACATTCACAGGCTGAATTGCTGCTCAAGGGTTGACTATCTGGTTGCCTTGCCATCCTCGGAACGTAGAGTACATTCTGAAGACAAATGCTTCCAACTTTATCAGAGGCGACAGTTTCAGGGAGATATTCGACATCCTAGGTGATCGCATATTATGTGCAGATTCTGACTCATGGATTGAGCAGAGAAAGACTGCACATATGTGCTTCAAATCAATGGAGTTCCGCAAATGGGTCAATGAAACCAGCCTCAAGGAAGTTGGAGACTATCTTCTTCCTTTGTTGACGCAAGCTGCCAGGAAAGGATGCACTGTTGATTTGCAGGATGTGTTTCTGAGGTTTACCTTCAACACTACCATGAATGCTGTGTTTGGAAGAGATCTCAAGTATCTTACTTCTGAGTCGCCTAACACAGTAGCCCAAGGAATTGACGAGGCACAAGAGGCTCTAACGTACAGGGTCCTGATGCCCACGTTGATTTGGAAGTTGCAGAGATGGTTGAACGTTGGGGCAGAGAAGAAGCTAGCAAAAGCAAGGGAGATTGCAGAACGCTTCATAGAAAAGTGCATTTCAGTTGTAAGAGATGACTTCCTTAGAGGAGTGGAAAAATATAGTCTGTTAACTACTTACATGAAATTATCCAAGACTGGTGACAAGTTCCTCAGAGATACAACCTTGAACGTTTTGGTTGCTGGACGAGAAACTACAGCTTCAACTATAACCTGGTTCATCTGGCTGACTTCAAGAAATCCTCGTGTGGAAGAGAAGATCATAGAAGAATTAAGGCTGGTAGTCTCTGAGAAGAAGGTTGCAGAAAGGGATGAGGGTGGTGTTGAGGAAAAGAAACAGCCATGGGTGTTCCATCCAAATGATTTAAGAGGCCTAGTGTACTTGCATGCAGCATGTTGTGAAACACTGAGGTTGTATCCTTCAATCCCTGTAACTAGAAGAGTTGTTATGAAGAATGATGTCCTTCCAGATGGAAGCAGTGTGGGGTCAGGGATGCAGATACTGGTTTCATACTATTCTCTAGGGAGGATGCCATGGTTGTGGGGAGAAGATTGCTTGGAATTCAAACCTGAGAGATGGATCAATGAAGATGGGACTCCAAATCAAGAAAAGGTGTCCAAATTGTTTGCATTTAGCATTAGTCCCAGAACTTGCATCGGTAAGGACTTGGCTCTGACACAGATGAAGTTGGTTACTGCCACTCTGCTTTTCAACTTCCATGTTCAGGTGGCTGAGGGACAATCAGGTTCCATCAGAACAGCCATAAATCTCTTGGGATGAATAACGGATTAATGGTTTGCATAAAAGAAAGGTTAAATTGATTCTAATAATTAAATCAGAATTTAATCATTTAATTATGTGCTGCATGTATTCTCTAAAATAAAACCTTATTTTACAAATTACATTGCTAGTGCATGTCAAGAGTTGTTTTGTTACAACTTGTCCTTAGAAAGGGAAGAAATTGTAAGGGTACTTGTTATTGAATCACTACTTCTACTAGTATTGTATTGTTAAATAATAATAGTTAAAAGGTATGCTCCAATTATATGGGGTTGGCTACATGAATCTTATTCTACCATTACACTCTATTCAATGCTATATCCATTATTAAATTATGGGCTCTCTATCTCACTACTGCATTCTATGTTCTTTCTTGCCTTATCCCTAGGTTCTCTAGACCCTTTAACTTGCAATAGGTTCTCACCTTTATTTGGAATTTCTTTTGTCCCAAACTTTACCTTGCCCCTAAAAGAAGCTTACAAAGCTCTCCCTAATCAACTGAAACCCTCCCAGTGAAAAAAAAAAATCAAATACATAAAAGCAATAATCAAACACAACCTATGTTCTAAGGATTGCCAAACCCACATTATCTTTATGAATGATCCTTGAAAGCTCATCAGGATGAAGTGTATTACCTTCATAAACCAAAACAGGAACCTAATAATCAATACCTCTGTTGTAAGAAAGCCTGGCTTCCCCGATTACAAGAAATTTAGTTTTAAATTGTTGCTAGAAACCTATAACAATGGATTAGTGATGAATATTTAATTGTCTTTAGTGATAGATTTTTTCTTTTTTTTTTTTTTTAATTCAAACCATTGCTATAGATATTGTTTAGCAATGAACATAACCGCCATTACTATAAATTCAGTCTATTGCAACAAATACTATGTGGACCATTGCTAAAAACATCTATAGCAATGAACAAGCCGTAGCTAAAAGATTGCAAAAAATATTTTGTGGATAAATACCTATGGTTAAATAATGAGTGTCATTGCAAGAAATTGGCTATATTTACAATTTGTTTAAAAACCCATAGCTATAGATGTGTTCTAGCAATGTTTATCACATAAAACCGTTGCTAAAGGTTTTCTAGCTATAACAACGATTTATCATGAAACTTCTAGCAACGTCTATAACAATGGTTTATGATGAAGAATAATTGCTATTATAGCTTGGTTCTAGCAATGGTTATTGTATGTAAATAGTGTTTGGGAAACACAAACGTATCAGAATAACCCCATCACTACTGTTCACTGCATTTAAAATGAACAGTATATATATATATATATATATATATATAAATAATATTTTCCTTTGTTTTGAAGTAAATGGTGGAAGGAAACAAAGTTTTCATCATAAAACAGTAAAATCTTATAGCTCAAATATTTTGTCAAATGTTTCTAGTAGCAGCAAGGTTTAAGGATATAATAGAAAATCAATTTAAAGGCATAATTACAGGAGACATTTAGGAAATTTCCTATGGGGGAGTTTTGTTTCTTGACGGGACATTGTGCTTTTGGTACTCCTTTTTTATTTTTTGGGAGAAAATAAAATAAAGGGTTTGACTATGATGCTGTAAACATATGATACGGGAAAAAGCTTACAACCAACCAATCAGCATCATAAAAGTGCTAACCAATGGGATGGGTTTTGGAGAGAAATAAATGATTTGAAGAAACTCCCAAGTCCTAAGTCCCAACAACCCAACCCTCATCTCATGTCCCCTATTCTCCCCAAACAAACTTTAATTAAGAATTTTGTTTACTGTTGCCTCTCCATCCCTTTTTTTTTTTTTCACTGAAACCATTTCTTTCTAACAAAAAATAAGTTAATGAAATTTTACCAGTAGAAACAATAATATGAAATTGAATCATTTCTACAGAATAAGGGACTATAATGGACTGCTGAACCGTTATAATTCTACAGAATAATGAAACGGAAATATAAAAGTGCTATATATGATCATTTCCTATTCCTCATCCTATCAAATCATGTTTATTAGTTTGTGATCAAGATGGAAATACAAACATTTGTAGAAGATGCGCTAAGAAGCAAGCGAAGCTTCTAATGATGAGGTTGGGAGCATTGGAATTAATAGTTGCCTCTTGTGCTGTGTAGAAGAGAAGATTTTGCAACTGAACAAAACAAAATGTGAAGGCCTGTTGAAGACAAGAATAAGGCAAAGTTTAATCTTTTCTGTAACAAATAAATCAGCCTCAGGGATGACAAATCTCTCAAATTTCCAAACTTTTCTGTGACAAATCACTTAACAAACTACAGGGACATCTTTCCCCCTCTCCTCTCTCTCTCTGGTCCTGCCATATGGCTTGGTGAGTTTTTTTAGAACACTAATCAAATTAGCTAGAATTTTATTCCATTGCATATTGCACAATCTTGGTTTTGCTGGAAATATAAGATAAAAACCAGTTGGCACTCTCATTGCAGGTGCCTTTTATTAAAGGAAAAATAAAAATCTCTTATGATCTTTATTTCTTTTGGGGAATGTGTATTTCTTTGAGAGAGAGAGAGAGAGACCATGTGCAGTAGTACAGTAGATCTTCTTCAGATTTTTATTTGCTTGGATGTCATCTGTGGTGTGTGGGTGAAATTGTATGATGACCATGTGCAGATGTCCTAATTATAATTCATTTACAGTTCTAGGGTTACCCAGGTAGCAGAATGTGTTTGAAAAGATACTGATCGATCTAGGCCTTGTTGTGCTCTAGAGCCCTAAAATGAAGGCTTAATTAAAGACACCTGTTGGCTCCGCATTATTCCTTGCTTTGATTGGACTCGCTTAAACTGAAGCAGCTCAAACAGAAATGTTCATCTTACTTGTTACTCTTTTTGAATCAAACATCATTTGACTGGACTAATTAAGATGGGGGCATGCATGATAGACTGGGAACAATCACAACGAAAATAATGAAGCAACTCGAAAGGGATCAAAAGTTGGCTGAGTTTTTGCCTTTTGAGCAACTGAATGAACAGAAAAGGTCATTTTCCCTAGGTCTAAATAAAATATTATTCTTAAGACTGCGTTTAGAAACGATGTAAATAAATGTGAAAGCAAATATGTAGGGTGTAAAACGGTTCAATAAAGATATGCCTTTTATTTTTTTATCAAAACTCCACTTGAATACAAATTTACTTCTTTTTTATTGATATGTAAGGTGTAAAACGGTTCAATAAAGATATGTAGGGTGTGAAATCAAATATGTTGGGTTAGTTTTGTAATAATAAATTTACCTTTTTATCAAACAGATTTTTATGCAAACATGAATTCCAATAAAGATATGCCTTTTATTTTTTTATCAAAAGTCCACTTGAATACAAATTTACTTCTTTTTTATTGATATACTTTTACATCTTATTATAAATGTAAATATGCATTGAAAATTGTGTTTTCTGTTATTTATCAATACATAAATATAATGTTGCCAAATACAGACAAAAATGAATCCGAGTGCAATTTTTCCTTGAACCAGGATTTACACTCCATTTGCATTGTTTCCAAACACAGCCTAATTTATTCAAGGTAGTATTGCAGACGCCAGTCAAAAAATTGCATACGACCTTTCGAGAGAATCAGCAAGGGCTTTAGCATATGCGAAAATGGTAAGGTTGGTCCATCCATACTTTTTCGCAAATAATAGACTGTGCAGAACCGCTACACATTCAGCTTTCATTGCGCTGCAAACATTATCAACTTTGTTGCCCAAGTCACATAGAAAATGGAAATTATTATCCATATGATTGATATTGAGAATGCCTCTATCACAAATTATGTGAATAGAATTTCCTCCATGTTCATTGGAATTCTCATGCAATTGGTTACAAGACAGGGGCACCTCGGCAAATTTCCATATTGTTAGCAATTCTTTTAGTCTTGTTTAAAATTTAGGGTAAATTAGGAAGACCCCTTTACTATGGGGTCAGTGACAAATACTCCCTAGAGTTTCATGTGCAGCAAACAGTCCCTCAACTCTCACTTTTTTTGTGATAAATAACCCCCAACTGTTGAGTCAAACGAAGGAATGTGTTAAATTATCAAAACGTCCACCTAATCTTTCTTAGTTTCTTTTTTCTCACCCTTTTCTCTTAAACCTTAAGGCTCAATTTGGAAGGAATACAAATTACAAATCTGTACAGTACAAATACATACAAAATAAAAGGTTTTGCACTCTATATATTTGTATTTGTACTCCTTTCAAACTAAGCCTAATTGGCAAAAATTAGCTCTATCTTTTTTAAATGAAACCATCTAAAATAATAATAATAATAATAATAATAATAATAATAATCATTTCACTAGCATATAAAAAAAGTTGCTTTTTTAATTCCAAATTCATATCACCGACATGAATGTCTCTCATCATCTTAAAATATAAAAATTACCCACTTTCAAACAAAACCTTAAATTTATATATATATATATATATATATATATCAGGAAGAAACCTCTACTACTTCATTTGAATATTGGACCCATCTAGAAATTTGTAAGATCTATTGGAGCAACTGAGAAGACTTCAGAAAACTAATCAAATCATTCAAATAAATAGAGAAAGGGTAGTTTTGAGATTTAATGTGAATCTTACTTATAGTTACAAAATTCTAACAGAGGGGGTATTAAGAGTGACGCAATGTTGAAATTTAGCATGCAATGCTGAAAAGTTGATTCTCTATGCCAAGAAATGGTATTGAATTCAAATTGACAATTATTTATTGATTTTAATCATTGTTATATCATTTTCATTGCTGCTGCTGTTATTGTTTATTAAACGGAGTAAGCGAAATCTCATGGCTCATTTTTTTTTTTATGTTTCAGGTTATTTCATTTTTCGTGCCATGACCCATTCTTCATTTTAGAAAGAATGAATCCCATGATAAGAGTTTTGTAAATAAAGCTCGGTTTGGAAAGAATACAAATATAAATTTATAGAGTATAAAACCTTGTATTTTGTATTATTTTACATATATTGATATTATATAAA